GTAGTAAACATAGTCTTTGCTATGACGGGTGAGGCTTTTAAGGTATCTATTCCGTAGTTGATACTCTTAGGCTAAAAGACCGTTTTCGGTAGATAGGGTCAATCGCTTATGTCGACAACTTCGCTCTCACAAAACGAGCGCGAACTGCTGAAGTGTTACAACGCAGCATAAGCCACACACCCCCTAGAAATCTATCACTGAGTGAACGGACAGGGCCAATTCTATCTTTCTTTCTCAATACTAGTTAGAAGAAGGAGGACCATCACAGTAAATACGGCAGCGTATCTTCGAGTATAACTGGACCAAAGCATTAGAGGAAACTATTACATGAGGCAGGCCGTGGTAGAAGTCAGCTAGGCTTTTGCGGAAATCGCCAGGATTGGCCAGTCATCTCTAAACTTGGTCTAAAAAAAGGATTTCTAATGGTGGTTACGTAACCCATAGAGCTTTTTCGGGTACTAAAACGGATTTCTTTGAAACCTTCGATCAGCACCACTGAAAAGGTATTTTGAGGCACACAAAGGATGGCGGTTCTCAAAATCACTCAAGCGTACCGCACTGTTCGCATTAACACTTTATTTTCCGGGACCGTAAGGCAAAAAGGGGAAGAAAGCTTTGGCACTTATATGTGGAAAAACTACCCTTAGAACATGACAAGACAGGTGACCTGAATTCACATTGTTGTATTAGAGGCAGCAATCAGGCATTTTGCGGATCAAGAACAATACTACCCTCCGAACCCAGGCGCACTACAATGCTAGAGCTGATGTCAGGCTGTCTTCATAAATGATAACTCGATAAAGGTATACAGAAAAGGAGTGATGGGTTTTGTAAAGTATATCTATGGCTTTACAGAAAATTGGAAGAAGGATGGGGTCTGGGCGCAAGAAGTCTTATAGAAAAAGGAAAGCCAGCAGAGTGTTGGCTGATCAGATTGGGGCGACGTAGACGAGGCTTTGAAGTCGGGTTTGCAGAAAAACAGGGGGGCTAATGCCTTCCGGCTGGGACTAAGCTTCTCTGCGAAGAGAAGAGCTCGACCACAATGACATCGAAACAAAAATACGCTAGCACTTGCCACTCCCTTCTGTGTGCTTGAAATACGATTGATGGAAGAACGAATCGGGGTTGTTTAAAGTGAAGCTTAAACGCAGCCAGTGCCTTAGTTAACAACCATCTCGAATGACTAAGTACAACGCTTGAGAAAACCACCTTTCGTACAGATGTATCATTCGTGTTCACGTACCTCTCCAGCCCAAATTTTAATTCGCTAGGTTACTATGTACTGAGTGTTAGTTAAGGAAAATCAAACGAGTGTCGCCATGACAACGTCAAGTCGTTTACTCGTGTTACCGCCAAAAAGCTATTCGTCTGCATCTGCAAAAGGAACAGCCTCTGGCCGGTTTTAGCCCCTAATTGAAGTTCTAATGACAGTGAATGATAATTATATTAAGTAAAACGGTACCGTACAAAAGTGGTACCTTTACCATATGCAAAAAGTGTCATTTCGCTGGAGTATTTGTCTGTACAGCCAAAATGCAACACGAAAGTTCCTGTACTATATGAAACCACTGTATAAAGTTGTCAATCAGATGAACGTCTAATAATAAAATTGATTCAATCAGTTTTATGTTTTATTCGAATTTGTCGCATGCCAAGCGGTAGCGAACGCGTTTGTAACTTGTTCTTTTCCAAGTTGTTCTAATATCAAAGTTAACATTTTTAATGGGATAAAAAATAGAAGAAAGGAAATTACACAAAAATTCATTTTCGTTAAGTCATTCTTTTGATTTATCAGCCACTCCGCTAATTTTAAAATTCAATATATTGCTTACTATACCACTTGTCTCTATTACTACTGCATGTGCATTGATACATACTACATGCAAGTGGAACACACAAAAACAAACAAAACAAAAAAAGGAATACCACACAGAACGGTACGTCGCTGAGTAAATCTTACCAGTAGATAGATAATATTGTTAAAATTGTCGGCAACCTACAGACCAAGCAATCCTTCGCAGTACAATGCTCGCTGAATACTGCGTATCTAGCTATTTTGGTTTCTCACGACGTTTCCTACGATCTACCCTTTTTTTACGAGTTTTGTAGAAGATGTCGCTCCGTCATGGTAATAAATAAATTATGAAATAAAAAAAAAGGTCAGAAATAGATGATAACGGATAATTAAGTGAAATTCAAAGAAATAGCCTACTAAGTCACCTATTTGAATCACCGCAAAATGTACCCTACTCATGTATCACTATCGATCCCACCCAATATGGTTTCACTTAGTATGGAATACGAGATAGTAAATTTTAACTTTCCAATTTTGTGTTTTGTCACCATGATAATTTTATTCTCGACGGAAATATGTACCATTATAACGTAGATGTCGAGTTATTTATTCCGCTGTTGTAGACGTCTGGAATACGAGAGTTTTCTGAAGTTTCGAAAGGCGACCCCGGCTTCAGGTCGAGATTTGAAAACCTTTTTTTCTTAGTTAAAAAATATATCATCGTTCTTTTTTCATAGCTTTCAACATATACACTACATACGCTGATATTACGCCCTAAAATATTCTGCTAGGATAGTGTTATGGGAATTATTTGGGATGCTATTATGCATGCTCCTGTTATAAGCGTGTAGCACCGTTAAATCTGTCTTAAACAGTCCGCTACCCTAACATATGTACAATGAATACTCTTCAACTGTAAAGAAACCTGTTTTCAATTTGCCGAAAGACATTTGGGCCACCCTGTGGCCGCAGTTTACAAATATTAACTTTCCAAACTCATAATAGTATTTCAACTATACTTTGGTAGACAATAGCCTGGCACATTAGTGCTATTAAAGCCATTAGATTGGTTTTTAGCTTTTAAATCTGAGAATTGGTTTACCCGAACATAAGTTTTTTTTACCGCCCAAGCTTTCTCGTCCGGACAGATGTACACAGCAGAACTAGTTGACATCGCAGACACTGTTTTCGAGATTAAAAACAATTATATGTTGACAACGTATAATTATTGTGAAGTGAAAAATACGCTGAAAGTTTCCCTATTTCACAATGGAATATAAACAAATACTGGTCACAAAACAATCGCCAATAAAATATGCATAAAAAAAAATGTATGATATACGTGTAACGAACCTGCACACCTAATGATATTATGCTACCTACTGACACGTTATTGGCAGACTCGCGAGAAGTTGAAGCTATCTAGAAAAGGGGACCTATTTCCTTGCTCTCCGAAGTTCCCGAAGTAATGGGTACATCTGTGCAGCAACTTATTAGGTAAACGGAAAATCGTGATTTAGCTTGTATCAGCTCAGCTAGCTAAAATCGATAAGACTTTCTCTTATAGCTATGTTCACTGCGAAATTAGAGTTGTGCATGGCGCCGCCCATGCCCTTCTCATATTCCCAGTTTTGAAGGAGGCGGAATCCTGCAAAACAAAAAAAAAACAAGACAAGAAGAAAAATTTCGCACTTTATCTTCACTTCTTAAGAAGCGTATAAAGCAATTTGTGAGCCTTTTTCATTAACTTTACAGGATGACGGCTTCTAAAATAGATTTCAGCGGCAGCTATTTTGCTGCTGAGATCAATATCGAATTATTATAAATTTGCGTTAGTTTTCGGTTTCTGTCCCAGGCATGTTGAGTCACCCCGGACATTAACGCTAAGGTATGTGCTTATTCAGGAGGACGTTCACAGCATAACTGGGCCCATTTTAGTCCGCAACGGAACCTACAAGAAGCAGACTCACATTGCGATTTCGATGTAAAGTTATTATGTTCCTTCCTATCGATTGTTCTATTTGCGAGTTGTGTTGGAATTATGTTGATTTTTCGTCAGCAGATCTATGAAGCAACAATATGTGGTAGTTACCAGTTACCAACGCATACCTTTGAATCAGCAATGCTTACATGCTCACTATTACCATAGCAAAGGACTTAAAGAGATACGCCTTAGTCACTAAGACAACGCTGCCCTCAAGGAAAGCTTGGTCGCTCGATGAACACGGAAAGCGTATATACTCTCGATTTAGGAGCGACGGAGCAAGAACTGGCAGATACGAACAATGGCGTACATCAACCTAATTTATCGAATCCACGATAAGCGCAAATCCGTCGTGATGGTCTTGGGTGATTTGGAACAGAGAGTAACTTTATGAATGACAGCTGCGATCAGCACTCGCTACTTTCCCTAATTAATGTTATCTAGATGTTAACTAGAGATCCAAGCTAACAGACATTAAAGCTTAAAAACGTTTTAAATTGAAGAATTAGTCGAAAGCCATCTCCGTGTAAACAACTACACCTATGGAAATTCAACCCTACACATGACCTCCGTCAACGTGTTTGCTAAATGTGTGTGTCCAAATCGTTTAGGTAAAGAAAGAGAAAAGGTGAGATTTAGACTGCCACCGATAATGAACGTGGCAAATTACGGAGCCATTAATTGGCTACGAATGCAATGTATGTTTGATTCCGTGAAGCCATTAGCTTTCGCTGTTGTGAATCCATATATCTTTTACCTCCTTTTTTTGTTAAGTCTCAACTTCAGCCCATGGGCGCAAACTTAACCTATAGGCCACTTGAGCTATTAGTCATCTGTAATATAATATAATTATTATCCATTAGCCGTACAAGAATTTCGTAAAATATTAGATATTTTCTTTTGTCGTGTTGCTAGATATTACGCCACTACTATTTTAGATCCCACCTCTGACATTACATTTTTAGTACTTCAGTGCGCGCTTAGATTCGAGGCTAGATGTAGCACGGTGTCTTACAACTAAATGACACAACGATCAGTTAGAAATTGTTTTTCGTAATTGAAAGGACTGTGTTCGAAATCGCGCCCACTCGGCCTGACCTGCTGAGGTGTTCAATGTTTTGTTTACCCAAAAAGATTATCAGAGTAAACTAGTGCACAATTTCGAATTTTTGTAAATTGATGATCTGATCTCATCTCCGTTTCTATGAGGTGATACGTGACAGGAACGGAAAATTTGAAGGATTGCAAACAAGTTAATGAATGTCTGAAACAAGAATCCTTTTAAAACTCAAGTGCAAATGATGTGTCTTATACTTTCCAGTATACAGTTGGTGTAAAGCACAGTGTTAAGCTCCATGGAAGATGTTTAATTCTAACAAAGCTGGCCTAGGGGAAGTCGATAAGGCAATGATAATCAAATAATTATGATCGCTTGCGAATGAGGCTTCTCTATGTTAAGTTGGTCAACGAATAGTAAAGAAGAACATATAAACATTTTTAAAGATTTGTGACGGAAATCTGAAGCTCTGCACTTTCTCTTATCCATTTTGACTGTTTCTAATGTATTTTGCCTATCTGGGAACTGGTTATCAATTTTACAATCTTAGAAACAGAACAGCGACATTATCTAGTTATCATAAACAATTACGAACTCTGTGGTGATAGGGAAAATCGTAATTCGTTATTATAATTAATCTTTTCATTTTTGTTTCAATCAGCAGTATACTTGCCTACATCAGCGTCGTTCATAGTAAACTTGAAGAAAGCAGACAATCTTGTAATTCGTAAAATATATCGCGACAAAAAATAAAAAGAAAGCAACTACAACAACTGTTTATTATGCGTGAAATTTTCTAAATGGGTATAGCGGGACAAATGCACGGGTCGTTTTTTTCCTTCTTTTTTTCTTTGTCAGATGCACAGAGAGGAGATGTCGTTGGCGTTCTTTGGCACGATGGTCACTTGAAAAAAAAACGAGTAACTGACCCATAAAAGTCCCTGGTTTTTAATCGTCTCCGTATAACCCAACTCAGCCGTTTTTGTTACGCTAATAGAAATATTAACAGCCAAAGATGGTGGATTATATGATAGGCTAATGTGAATCGTATCATCGAAGAGGCATCGCGAGGAACTCCGTTTTGGGAGCATCAGAAACGACGAGATGAACGGCACACAGAGCGCATTCGGAAGACGTTGCAGAAGCTCGCAGCAGCATCTCCAAAGGTAGACGGTGAACGGAAAATTCAGTTATTTTTTTGAGTATAAATATTTTTAAGGATGTGTTTATCTAAACATTCTGCAGTTTGTAGCTGTGATTCAGACAGCCGAGCTTAGTTTGAAAACCCAAAGATATTTTGCGCTCTGTCTCAAGACATATATGCTACACATCTTGCGTAAAAGGAATCTTTCGTTTACAACATCTTGTCTTTACTTGATGTCGGTAGGAATTAGCAGACGCCAAGCAATGGACTGTGTCAACTCTTCAGCGTTTAGATGCTGCTTTCCAAAAAAGTGGAGACAAGGAGAGCCTTCGCCATGTGGTGCATGTCGATATGGATGCTTTCTATGCCAGCGTCGAAGTAAGCAAACTCAGACTAGGATACTTGCTAAATTCAAGTAAAAATGGAGAGATTTGGGTACGGCACAAACAAAAGACACAAAAAACCATTTTGTCCTTTCTTTATCAAGCGAAGATAATTTATTACACACATCTATTATTTCTGTTACTCTAAGTCATATCGGTGCAATTACATAGCGTACTAAATAAACCGAAAATGCAACCATTCGAAGTTCTTTACCGTTATATGGACGTCTGTACTTCATCACGTGTATCTGTTCTCATATATATTAATGCAACGGTGCTAGGAACGTGACGACCCCCGGCTCCGCGGGCTTCCAATGGCGGTAGGGAGCACTTCAATGCTGTCAACATCGAACTACGTTGCACGAAAGTTTGGCGTTCGTGCTGGCCTGCCAGGATTTATAGCGAGGAAACTTTGTCCCCAGCTCGTTATTGTGCCGATTAATCCGTGAGTCTTTAGCCGAAAGCACTACCTAACAACATTTTTTAGTCATTACAATTAAATGACCTTGCAGACAGCTTTATAGGTAGAAGTGTATCGTTAACTATTTGCTTATATTGTGCTGTTTAAGGGACAAATACGAGCAGGCAAGTTTCGAAGTCATGAACATTTTATCCAAATTTGATCCCAGCCTAACTGTGTTCGGTCTGGATGAAGCTGCCCTAGATATCACCGACTACTGTCAATCGGTTTCAGAAACCGGAATTTCACCAGATGAGGTACCTAATTACATCGATTTATATATCCCAATTTACTTAGCCAAACTAGATTCTACAGGTGTAGCGTTGATTTTTTTTGTTATTTATCTATGCTATGGCTATTAGGCACTCCTAAACGTGAACACAAGCAACAGTCAGCGTTGTTTTACGTTTGTTTGTAATAATGTATAAAAGCTATCTACGACCAGATTCGAACTCTAAGAGTATATTTTATATTGGTTACAGGCTGTCAATAGGCTGCGGGCTGCGGTGCGCGAAAAGACGGGACTGACCTGTAGTGCAGGAATTGCACCGAATGGATTACTCGCCAAAATCTGTGCTGATGTCAACAAACCTGATGGACAGGTATGTATTTATACGTTCGCTATATTTTCTGTACAAAAAATTTTCATTAGTGTAAATTATTGCACTAAATAACCGATACTTCTGACCGATCTAAGTCAAACTGCTGACACAAATTGGATTTACTCGAGCCAATTTTTGCTTTATATCAAAAACGAGATAAAATTGCGCATGCTTTATTTATGTATATTATAGGGCCTTGTGTTATTTTTATAAATTCAGACATTTCTAATACTTAACCCCGTAAATGTTTTCGGGTTTTTCAGTTCCGCTTGGATACACTGGAAAATATTAACAAATTTTTAACTCCTTTGAAAGTCCGCAAAATACCGGGGATCGGCCAAGTGCAAGAAAAGGTGACTCTTCGTTGTATCTGCAGTTGCAGATTGCTTTATATAATATATGTGAACCTTTATGTTCAATCCATCTATATTGCACTTAAATAGTAGTCATTCGAGTTATTAGATGAGGCACTTCACGACCAATGTCTATTGGAACAACGAGGGCACAGCTCTACTTCGCAATGTACCACACATCCAGTCTTGCTAAAAATGCTAAACATAGGTACGTTGCACTAATAATGTACCTTTTCTATGTTCCAGATCTTGTCAGCCCTTGGCATTGAATCATGTGGAGACCTGCTGGAAAATGGCGAGCGACTTTTACTTGCGCTTGGGGAACGTTCAGCTGAAGCGTATCTCAGGGCTGCCAAGGGAATTGGTTCCAGTTATAGACAAGGTATAAGTCAAATCTGAAGAAAAGTGTCATGGGTTTTTTTGTACTACATCACCGACGGCAGTTGGGCGAACGTATGGCCATTTTCTTCTCTAGGAAATGTATTATAGTGTAATCCGTCGTGCATGCTGATTCCGTAAAAGGGAAACGCTTAATGTTCCGGTTGTGTTTATTTCACCGCTGGCTGTTGGAACGTTCTGCTTTTGATCTAATTTGAACTACTAATATAGAATTGAAAATGCACGCCGACTTTTTGGACCTATATTTGATCGAAATGATAATCAAGTGGCATTACTTGCTCAGCAGTATGTCATTTGCAGTGGATTACCCAGTATTCGATTTTGGTAATATATTTTGTAGATGAGAGAGCTTCTGGCCATGGTCGCAGTCGAAAATCGAAAAGTGCTGAAGCAACGTTTCATGACACTGCAGACCCGGAATATCTTGCTGATGTGGTCAGGCAATTATGTGTACGACTTTCGGAAGAATTGATTACAGCAAATCTTCGTGGACGACTTGTGACAGTCAAGGTTGGTGGAGTAAATTCTGTGTGCAAGTAAACACAATTCCTTCTTTCAACTGGTTGTTCTTAGTTGACAAAAATCATATCGATTGTAGTTGTACTATCTGCGTGGATAAGCCAAGTACTTTTGTACTAAGTGACATATTAATTTTCAAAAAAATATTCACTACATCATCTGTATGGTTACGATTTGATGATGCCTTGTCTTTGTATTTCAGCTAAAGACGGCGTCATTTGATTTGTTCAGCCACTCTGTCGCACTTGAGGTGAGACAAAATGTGATATGCCTTACATAAAAATGAACCTTAGCCGCTGCATTGAAAAAAATAAGGTCTTAATTTAGGCAGAATCTAGGTATAGGGAGATTAACTGCATCTGGTTCGTGAGCGTAGGAATCAACATGACACAGCGAATTATGAAACGTTTACCTTTCACTGTTATGTTAAAATCAGCCTTATCTGTTTATGTTAATTTAGATTGCAACAAATAGCGAATCAGCGATAACGAACCACTCTCTGCGAATTCTCCGATACGCACTCGATCGGCGGAAAGGCCAGGCGCTGCGTCTGCTTGGCGTAAAAATGTCAAATTTTGAAGATGAGCGCCGTGATTCTGTAGGTTCCACTCACACATTACGAATTCATCTGTGCCGTAGACTTCAAAACATGTTCAAAATAATTTGCTGGGTCCAGTCTTTATCGAAAGGTGGCAAAGCTGCATCTCGAGCAGCTTTAATAACTAGCAATAGCTATCGAAATATATCAGCTGTCTATTATTTGGTTGCTTATAGGTTTAAGTTAACAATCAGTATTTTAACTACGTGTGTACTTCATGTGTGTATATGTGGCTATTACATGCAGTATTCGACTGGACGTCAGACAACATTGAGTCAAATTCTGGCAAAAGACGGGTTGATTTCTAAAACCAACAATTCCAGTAATGCGTATGCTGGAGCCCGTACGAGTGATCGTTCTATAGACGAGGAAAATAGCCGTTCTTCTATCAGCGTTATTTCGGAGTCGAATGAAAAGCATGGACATAATACCGTAAGAATTTACCACAAACATATCGAGAAATAATTGCCTGTATGGACAAGCGCTAGCCCTTGCTGAATGGTTCATTGCGCCATATTTACTGAATACACGTTGCCATAAGTTGTGTTAAGTATTCTGTGGCTAAGTTAAACTTTAATGAATTTAATTATTTGAATAGAAAAAGATCTTTAGTTTTCATAATACTTGTGGCCCATGTGATGACAATCGGGAACCCTTAACGTCTTTTCAGACGTCCTAAATAGAAAGCAAATGAATAATTAATGAAACTAAATGTGTTGTATACATAATGCCTGTTTGTCTAACTTCTGAAGTAGATATCAAGACTGGAAATATCAATAATGTTAAAGTTATCTTTAAACACAACTTTGCTTCAATTGACTGACAAAGTCATTTTCGGTTGGTGACTCTAAGTAAAAATTGTTACTGACTAAGATCATCTCACTTTTTAAAACTTTTCTTTTTGAGCACTGAAATGTCGAAAAAGTATTGATCCTTTTAAACCAGTATTGAACCAAATATGTTTTTTTTTTAATATTAAAATAACCAACTACGCGCCATTTTAAGCTATGACCTTTTGCCGTTTGTCCCGATGGTTACCCGGTAATAAATCGTGACAAATGATTTTTGCGTTCTTTCGTTTAAACTGTAAATTAACGCGATTAAGGGACTTTTCTAGAAACTTAGACAGATAATACAAGATTCGGGCTATACGTATAGTAATACTAAAGAAATATTAAATATAGTAGAATTGGCCATCTAAGTTTTCTCAATTTTTCCGGGTAGCTAAAGGTGTATATGGTCTGGCATTGCCATGGTGTAAGACGACGCTTTTCCTATTCATTGCTTTCGGTTAGTTGTTGCTAGTTGTTGGCAGTAGGGTCTCGAATCAATCGTCTTGCCTTATTATACGCAATTACTTTCCGATCCCACCAAAGACATAGCTACCTCCTTTAGTGTCAGTCTCGGCTTTGCGACCGATTATAGAGTACGTTTTTTTAATTTGCATGATATATTGTGGTGTGTGTGTGTATGACCAATTTTTCCAATCCGTGATCAATTTTTCTAGGCACAGCTTGATTTCGTCCAATTTTTTTGGGTTTTATAGAATTTTGAAGATGGAAATACAACCGAGTAAACTCCTTTATGTAGACTTACTTAAGCATCGAGCTTCTTTTTTTCTAGTCAGTTTTCTTCAAATGGTGTAAAACTATTTGGTGTTGAATGTCTGATTTTTTAGAATTACAATGACTCCTCAAATATAGGTCTTGCTCAGTTTTGGCAATAATTTAATTAACTTATCTTGTTAGCCATTACGAATAGCATACTTTGTATGTAACAAAACTCTTAACCGTATCTTTCAATAACGCGTTAACTGTTTATAAACATTTTTATGGGCCTTGGCGCTATTTGTGCTCTTATCGTAACGAAATTTCACCTTCAACGTGCTCTACCTTAGGTTATAATAAAGATATTCTTATATATATATCTTATATATATATATCTTAACACTGTTATTGTGTCTCTAACATAAGTGACAGATGACACCCGACGCGTGATATATATGATATAGATATAGGTGACTGTGGTCAACAGTTTCTTGTTCGGTTGTGTGCTTTTTATCATTTTGATAAAGTTATTGATAATCTATTATAATCTAATTATACGAAAATTGATAAATTTTTATAACAAATTGAAGTTTTCGCAACACTTAAATCTCAATAGCTGAATTTCATTAACAAACACTGTACATAGACTCAATTCAGTTATTCGTATACCTAGATACGATGTATCACTCACTTTGTTAATACTTTTAGCAGCCTTCGGGGTCGGACAACAAAATACATTTGAAGAACAGTTCGAAATCCACCGACGTGATACCTTTGACAAGTCAATCGAATATCAATGATCGGAGTAGATGCACTGACGTTCCTAGTACAGATGAGGTAAGAAACACCGGTAAAAAAATTCGGTATTTGTTCTTTCTGCAGATATAAGATAAATAGTTAATCTTTTTCTCCAAGATTATATTTTGGAGCTTGTCATAAACCAAGAAAAATCCACAGCCTATTCAAGCTATTTTGTTGTATCAAGTAAATGCATTTCCTTCCTAACTAATACTTGAGAAACATGCATAGTTGTATTTTAACAAGCAGTGCCTATTGCTAATTATTCTCAGTGCCAAACGTATGTTAAATCTGGCGAAGTTGTCGAAAATCGACCTGAAACAGTTCCTAGCCAAAGGTCTAAATCAACCAATACTGAAACCCTCATCGAAGAAACCTATTGTCCGATTTGTGCTGTCATCATGCGTGGCGTATCCGAGCGGCACGTAAATCGGCACGTCGATGAATGCTTGCAGCGTGAACAGAAACACGAACGTGACATGAATTTTAGCTGTAAAGTTAATTGCGCAGGAGTCCGCAGAACAAACAACAAGAAATCCGGTTCCAAAGGTCCAACTAAGCGAAAAGGAACCGCAGACAGGACAAAAAGTCCAGCTCGAGGGGCTAAGCAACCGACTAACGGTTCTATTACAGCGTTTCTCAAACGTTAATTCAAATGTTTGTATGGAAGCGCCAAATCTTTCAATGAACCTATATCATATATGTATTTACACTATTTGTATAACATTCATAGAGTTATACAGAGTATAATGTTGGCATCTTTTAAATATGTACATATCGTGACAAGTTCATAATAAACTTCAATGCACATTGATAAGTTTTTGATAAAGTTGATGAAATTGGTAAATTAGGTGTCAGGCGATGCTATGTGTGACTTACTAACCCTTTGATATGATTTTGTTACATTAACCTATGAAATATTTACTAATGCTAGCCTTACAGTGTTTACAAACGCAACTGTCCTCTAGCTGATGATATCCTAATAACCCAGAGAACTAGTGCCATGTACTACAAACCTAGCAGTAATGTGGCAATGCGCTGATCTACTCTATTGGTCTGTTTTTGGCTGCTGTCAGTTACAGCAAGGGTTATAAAGAACTTTTTTTTTCGTTTACTTCCCAGCTGTGGTCACTTTCTGGAAAATAAAACGTTTGGCAGATTTCTTTTACGATCAATAAGCAGCCGGGCAGCAGACACAAAAGATTGGTTCCGTCGCGTGAAGACCGAACACGGATCTCATAAATGCCGACCTGATCTTGATAAAATTCGTTAGATCTAGGCTGGTAACGTTTTTCCTGATAATCTAAGTTCCTGGCTAAGTGGTCATTGGAGCAATTCTTAGAGCCAATAATTTAAGAGCATTGTCGACTAGTGCTTTGTGTGGTTGTTGAATCATGGCTACCGCGATAATTTTCTGACTCTTTTGTTAACGTGCAATAGCAAAAAATCTGTTGTCGTTGTTGTGGTTAATGCGGGGTATGTAAAAGACTTAACTGTTTCGAGAGTTTCACAGTCCACGCGAAACGAGTCACTTTCGGGAAGCCTTCCCCTCCAGAATTTCGTGGCTTCCGCCGGCCCGTTATCCATTTAGAGCTCAATGTCCACGACGTAGCCCTTCAGACTTAATAACGCCTACTTAAGATAAAATCTCTTCTTGCTATTAATTGTCATAAAATACCAGTTTTAGGAAGGCGTGTCGATGCTTGATGTGGAGGGCTAGGGTATTCATCGGAAGCGAGAAATGCATGGGATCAAGGTAGTCCCCTTGGTCAAGTCCAGCCGGCTGGTAACGTGTAATCGTAATTCAGGCGTCGTATTAGAGTGCTCTACACGCGGCTACAGATGCAGCTCTTTTTGTAAATCCTCTCTAAGGTTTGTGATTTTTCGAGTCATCCTTGGCTTTGCTAATTACAGCTATCATGCACTTTCTCCAGATTTCTGGGGTTTTCCGTGCCGCCAACCATGCACTAAATAGGTTTACCCAATAAGGTGAGAACGCTATGGCTTTTTTATATGCTCATTAAACATCCCGTGAGATACGCACGTTTTCTTGTTGGCAAGTTGTCTGAGACTAAGGTCGCCCTGCAGGGCTGCGATATTTTCGAGATCTTCGATTAGTCAACATGAGTGGTAGTGTGATACTTCGACTGAAATCGTGTTGCTTGAGCTTAAAATATCATAGAAATGCGTTTGAAGTCTCTTCGGGTTGACGGGGTGTCGTACAACGAAGTTGCGAAGCCACATGCGTGAGGATTGGGCAGTATCTTGTAGAAGTTCCATTTCACGCTTCATTTCGAAATTCTGATTCGCATCGTTGAGTACCGAGTGATCTTTGCGACGAATGGTTTGGGACCGGCCAAAAGGCTATGGCCCAGAATATAAAATCTTCTTTTCGCCAACGAGCATCCTGTATTTCAGAATGGCCTGGTGTCTGGACCTTTTAGGGGGGCACACACTTTATTAAACTTCGTGCTTAGACACCTATAATGCGTATTGACATTTAGATTTACCATGTAACGAAAGATAGCGCTGTCGAGTGTAATGGCGTCTCATTTCTCCTCCCCAACTTGTTTTTCCAACAAGTTTTTCCTCGATGTTGAGAGTTACTTCCACTCTGACCGATAGATGTCGTTTCAAAAAACGATCTTTCATAAGATTCCCTTTCGGCCCACCATGCCGCATGTCCTCCTATTAATATCGGTGGCAAATGAACTAATTACAGGCGCTTGTACTGATCGAATAAAGGTTAGTCATTTTGAGTCAATCGTCGCCCACTAGCCGAAACCTCTCTAGACTTGCAGAGATGCGACCAACCTTTCGTTGGTCGGCTCTACCGGTCAAGTCGCCGGCGAATACGGTCGGCTTTCCAGTTTCTTCGGCAGCTTGTGATACGTTTTTTTTTCTTTTTATATGTGCCTATCTTCAGGTCCGAAGGCGCAACGTGGGCCTCTGGCAGTGTGCATGGTACGACGGCTTATGTGTCCGCCACTATTACGCACCACTTGCCCTATTTAGTGGTTTACGCCTAGTTAAGCTCTTCACTGCGCACGATCACCATATAAATATTTATTTCGAAGTTGACCGAAGTTGAGCGGCAGATTCGCATCGTGTTTTTCAACTGTGCGAGTGCTCAGTGTACGACCTTTTTTCTAAAGCAAAATTTTCAATTTGAATTGTTGACGAAGGCTAGTAATATTAATCACAGCCATCGTCAGATGACATATTTCAGGGCATACTCGGTTTTGGAGCAACTGTGCGATGAATCGAGAGTGTTTCAAATTGTTCGATGTTGCCGATGCTACGCCAAAGTCGCCGCCTGGTTTCGGAGAGAAACTTAGCGCTCTGCCACAACGGCTACAGATCTCTGTTCTCCCTGGGGGGATAAAAGTACTGATTATACGTAGTTGTCAAATAAGGTGGGATTGCTTAATATATAATGATTGTGGTTGGTAATAAATTTGGTAAAAATATTTCTTTCATCAGGTTTGTGATAAAATTCAACCGAAGACTGTATTCGGCAAACGACTAGGTTTCGTCAAAAAAGAAATTTTCTTCCAGACTGGTGACTGGCCGCAGTAAAAATAATCTATTTGTTTTGAATTTGCAAAATGCAAATTAAAAACGGAAGTCCAATTAGACCCATACACCCATAGACCCAACTTTATCCAGTATCAAGATTATTTACATGATAGAGTAGCGTACGTTATTTGTACTTGCAAATCTGACTTCTACACTCCGTTAATTATACGTTGACATTGTCCAGTTGCTTTAGTTTTAGTAATAGCCATTAATGATAATCATTACAAACAGTTCAGGGATTGCCGCGTTGTACATATTTGTAGAGACGAAGATAAAAATTGTACTAAAATGTAGGAGACTAGGCAATTTTTTGTAGAAAGTTGGGTGCATATGCTTAGTAGTTCCTGTATAGCTACCTCGTATGGTGTATATAACGTTAGATCGAATAAATAACAATTTAAAGAAAATTATTAAACGAAACGATTACGTAAAGTCTTTAAACCCCACCCAATTTATTAGCTAAATACATAATAATAAAATAAAAAATTTAGTGCTTCTATAGATAGCCCTGAAAATGTAGCACGGAAAAATGAGCATAATAATATTATAATTATTTATTCATTTTACCAACGATATGAACATGGATTCCAGTACACTCCATTTGTCACAGGCGCGTGCTAACCCGCCTGACCAAACTTATCCATGAATTGTCTATACTTCTTAATATCTGATGCATCCACCGATGGCTTGGATTTATTGAAACATAACTGCATGTCTGCCATTGTGAGCTGCAACAAAAAAGTATTTTTTATTTTACATTTTTTAGTGCTACGTTCGATATGGATCGGATCGTTGTTTTTCCTTCGCAACATTAGTTTTAACATATATATATTGTTGTTAGCATTTATTAGATATGAAATATACTTGCAGAACAGATTTGGCGTTAATTAAATAAAGCTAAATAATATGTAGCGTGTAAAACAACAAGTTTTGTCGTACTTTAAGCGGAAACGCGTGTTCATAGGTCTCCACCAACAATACAGGTATCATAAGGTAAAATAACGAAATGCGCATGCTCAAACAGAACTATAGCATGGCCGAATACAACGTCTCGCCTACTATTCTTTGAAAATTCAATGATTCGCGATGCCAGTGCACTATTTAGTTATATTCATTAATATCTTGAAAACACTTTAGGTTACTTTCAGTGATACATTGGCTGGCTATTTATTTTCCACAATGTTAACTATTTGGCGGTGATCTAAACGAGAGAATCAAAAACAAGCGCACATGTTTTCTATATCGCACTTACTACTGGAGGCAGCAACTTATTCTTCGGTACATCCATAAAGGTCATTTTTATAGCTCCCCTGCTGCAGGAGCTGCATGGGGTGAACAGGTCGTTTGCGATCACGGTGCATTCCATTCGAGATGGTCCGCTAACCTTTTTAAAATGTGTTGCCGCTTGCACTTTCTTAATGGGCTGTAATAAGGCGTCTGCCACTACTACCGATATGTCGTCACCTGAGTAGTCTTTAGACATCCTTCCAAGTGCCTTAAAGTCCTAAAAAGTATCATTATATGTCATAAATGAGGCGTTCCGGTAAAGCAGTGTTTCTCGGGTGCTAGCGTGAAATCTAACAATGGTGTTGTTAGCATAAGTACAGTTTTAATATTGAATTACGAAGCGAATCTTCAATTAATAGTGAGGTTCAATAGGGTACGGTGAATATACTTGCCAACCATCTTATAACAAACGAACTTCTGAAAATATAATAGTTGAGAGCTTTCCATAACTCAAAGGTAAAATCTACTAGGACAAGTGAGAATAGGAAGGGTACGCGTCCACTGGAAATTACAGGCTCGCATGAACACATTTATCAAAGCAGAAGCAACTGAATAGTATTATTAAATCTTTTTCGTTTGCCTTGTTCGTTAGTACAGTATTATAACGAATAATAGGTATATTTAAAACAGATAATTATAATATCATACTGAAAATGTCTAAGCGATATAATAAAAATCGAACCCTGCTTACATCTTTAGTGAGCGTATGCTTGACAGTGCCGACGTGAATCTCAAACAGAGCTGTTCGTGCAGCCGCATCGGGCAGAGGTATGTATATTCGCTTCTGGAAGCGTCTGCGAATGGCTGGGTCGAGAGCCCAGGGTATGTTGGTGGCGGCCAGAACAAGGACGTCATCGTTGTTACTGTTAACACCCTGCATTTGAATTAGCAACTCCGTTTTGATGCGTTTTGTCGGTTCCGCCTCGTTCTCTGAACGTGATGAGGCCAATGAGTCTATTTCGTCTAAAAGCACAGCACAACATACATATAAGAAACTACACACTAGAATGATATATAAAGAAAAAAAAAAGTGATTCAAGCATATAAAATATTAACAAATCTGCTTACTAGCAATGTAACCTTTCACGAAATAGATTTTATTGTTGTTTTGTAAGTACATGGTCGAATGACCGCATTTAGCTTTGGCAACAAAAAAACGAATCAAAAAAATAATTAGTTAATATAGTTAAATGACGCTGAACTTCGATTAACGCGCTCACAAACAACGGGTTTTATCTACCAACACTCAGGCTTATTCAAATTATAATATTATATATACAGGAATATGAGGTTTAATTGTGGACGACGAAGCTAATGGGACGAATTATTCTGTCTTACCGATGAAAATAATAGCTGGCTTCAGTTTGCGCGCTAGCTCAAAGAGACTTCGTACAAGTTTCTCGGATTCTCCTAGCCATTTACTTACCTGTAATTTCAGTATTCCTTCATTCAATAAACCGTTAAATTTTGAACATTGTGACGAAGAGAGTAGACAAATTAAAGGTCAGAGAAAGTATGTAGATATGATTTCAGGATTTTTCAAAAAGACTGCAAAGACGACCATATATATATATATATATATATGTTTTGAATCTAAATTTACACGAGATGAGATATCGATATACTCTTTCGTAAAAATGATATTTCGATTCTAAAACGTGTATCGAACGCTAAGTCCCATTTGAACATAGACAGTTCTTCGAAAGCCATGGTTAGCCCACGTTCAGTGACTCGATGAAACAAAGCCAGTATGTCATTTAGCTGTAAAACCTGCCTTTCAAAGGCTTGATATATATTCGAACGAAGCCAATATTAGGGCAGATATAAAATTAAACAGTAATAATAATACTAACGCTTATTGTGGACTTGGTTTTCGTAAAATTATTGAATTGCTTATCTTGAAACGTACAAGGTCAGAGCCAGAGACTGATATCATGATTGATTCGCGTGCCTCGGTGGCTACAGCTTTCGCCAAATAAGATTTGCCCGTACCGGGTGGACCAAACAACAAGATTCCCTTCCAGGGCTTGACACTACCTAAAAAAAAAAAAATCTTTGCTTATATTTTTTTTTATTGATTGTTAGCTTGAGACATAGTAGCAATGTAGTATTCTATAGTTACAACAAGTAATGCTTGATGAAAACAATAGGAATATGTCCTGTCACCTGATAAGCAGTACTGTTTACGATCGATAAGATGTTTACTTTATCCTTTCTTAACCGGCCCTAATGGCCCATAACGCATTGAGAAAACTCCGAAGCTGAGTATAATATAGACGAGCTGATTGGCGGGGTATGGTCAGTGCCTAATAACTAGAATACAAAGTACCTGTGAATAGTTCAGGGAAAAGCTTCGGCATAATCACAGCTTCTTTGAGCGCTTCTTTGGCTGCTTCTAGGCCAGCTACATCACTCCACTTCACATTTAGCCTTTCAGTGACTATAGCTCCTTCAAGCTGGGCCATTAGTTTGTTTATCTCCGGATTGTTGCTCTTCACGACCCTACTATCGCCTTCACCGTTCATTCTTTCAGGCATTCTACTACCCCGTGTACCTCGAAGGTGCTTCTTTAGCTGCTCTGCTCGACCAAGATACTCCGTGATTTTAACACGAAGAATTTTTCTCTCATTCTCGTTTGATGGTTCGTATCGAAGCGCGTGCATGAAATATTCCAAGCTCTGCGTATACAAGCGGAAAGCTTCGGCGTAATTTTTGGCATGATCCTCTCTCACAGCCTAAAACCACAGATCAAAGATGATATTCGCGAGTCAAAAATGATTTTCTGCGAGATCACTGAAGGCCTTGGTTCTTCTTAAAATGTGTCAATAGTAAGGACGCGAAGAATCCAAAAACAGATTAAAGAAAACAACAACAAACAGCTCGATTCCGAAAGAGAAATGAGATGAAGCTTCCTGAAAACCGAAGAACATGTTCAGGCTTGTCGAACTGGAAATATACGACATAAATATCAATACTAAGGTATGGGCAATATAATAAAGCATAGAGGAGAAGCCTCTATTCTGTACAACTTTTTTGCCGAGGAAACCACAAACAGTAAATATGCCTATAGATTATTTATTAAACATATAATATATCCTGTATCGTTGCTGAAGCAAACGCAAATGTTGTTTGTTTACTTTGAAGCTCATTTTGAATATTAAAATATGTTAAGTACCTTCTCGAAATCCCGTACTCAATCAAAACTCCAATTCACTGTACTGTGTTTGAGATCACACTTAATAGATACATCGCCCCAATATCTCGTTAAATTTAGAATTAAAAGTAAAATATTGAGAACATAGACGAAAATGAGGCTACGCGGGTCAGAGACTGCTGCATTTCTTCTAGTAAGAAAGCAATATCTTTGAATTGTCAAGCATTCAGAATTATTTAGGTGTCCGCAACTCAGGACGTTACTGCAGTGTGCTCCACGTAATTCCACTCTTTAAGCGATATTTTCGAAGGGTAAGGCTATATATAGGACATTTTAACAAACTTTTTTTTTAATGATTTAAAGTTATCAACTCTTCTTCTACCTTTTTAAAAGTAAATGAAAGCAAGTTACGTTTAAGGAAAATTATTACATCGAGTTATAGTCCCAAGCACTATAAGGACAGAATGGGGTGGGGTCATGTAGGCCTCTATACTTTGAGCATGTTGCGTCGATGCTAATTTCATAGAGAAATTCGAATAAATAATTTTAAAGTAAAACATAGCTTGTAAATGTCTCCTTGACTGATTATCGGCCTGAAGAGCGGCTTATATCTTTCCTGGAGCATTTTGGGCGCTATAACTACCATCAAAACTATGAGATTCGTTCGGTTTAGCTAGATTTAACCTGGATGGAGTGCGTATTTATGTAGAGATATGTCAAGCTAAAGGCATCATATTTTTGTTGTACTGCGTACAATTTTTGTTCACGACGCGTCACGTAAGGTCACTTTTAAAAAAGATTTAATGGCGTGACACATCGTTCAAAAAAAAACAATATTGTCGACATACGCATCACGTTGATAATAATCACGATTATGGATCTGAGTCACAGTCACGACAGTTACATCTGCATTGGCTTCAATGGATGGTACGCGCATTACCACTATTCCTCACCGCTTCTCAAAGAAAATGCAATTCGTGGATGTGTCAGTATTTAGGCCATTGAAAACATGGCTTTATATGGTACAGTAGAACTTCAGGTGAGCCTATGTTGAACGAACAATAATAATAAAAACAAACTTTGGCCTGCTTAATTTAACAGTAAATGATTGTACAAGAGTATCGTTTTTTCTAGCCATAGTCGCAGCCCTCTCTAAGAAGAAAAGTATGTCCTTTTTAATGACCGACTTCTTTGCAGGGAGTCATTAATCCTTCATATAGCCGCACCCCCTCCTAAAATCCAACGCATCTGTGTCATATATGATGAGCGAACTTTTCATTAGAACGGTCATAAGATTGGCTCGACCAACACTTGCGATCCTTTCCATTTTCTTCAGCACTTGGTAGGCTGTATAGCCTTATGCCATCTACGTATATTTTCTAAGTGATTACCTTTGGTATTGCAATAAATGACTATGCCCAAGGTTTTGGAAACCATTATTAATCGGTACGCGAAAGTAACAATCTTATTATCTAGCCAAGAGAAGGTAAACCGATTTATGAATGTTTTCATAAATATCAATTTATATATACATACGCACCGGACATGTACATTCGAGAGAAATGGAGATGATTTACGTCGCTTCCTAATGGGCTAGAAAACATTTGTATTAAGTTTTTTTTTGCATGTCTACAAGGTGATTCCTCACGGGTGTGTTTATTATAATGTAATTGTACTACACTTTCACCATGACTTCGGGTCTAGGCTAAAACGCTCATAAGTTCTACTTTCTTTTCCAAACTATGAGTAACTTTTTAACACTTACTGTGAGTAGAGTGGCATTGACCCGTGTGTTCTTGTAAAAAATACTCTCGAATACGGTCGATAAAAAGAACGTTAGCGGCTTTGGCTTGCGGAATAATAACACCGAAATTTCGAAATATTCAAAGCTTCCGCAAGCGAAAAATTTCAAAAGATACAAAAGTGTAAAAACAATCAATTGCTGGGGCTTATTTAGGCGCCTAACTGGCAATGAACAACTCTCTTTCGCAATCAACTGTCAAGTTCTATATAAACATTTTTGAATTATCAATTAAAATGAGAATTTTTTTTTTCTAAATCCTGATTTCATTCGAGTTTTTACCATAAATAGTTCGAATTTTACGTCCACCGCCATTAGACCGTCCAATAAATGGCCGGCTCCCACCGCAAAACGAAGTTTGTCCGTGCTCGGATTTGTACCCACTCTCTGAAGTGACGTTACCCGCTACGTCATCACCAAAACATCACCAGCAGTTTTCTTCTGTATCAGATCAAGTATAATACTATAAATCAAATATATCCTGACTACAATATGCTAGATATGCAACGAATTACCGACATTAACCGTTGACTCTTTTTGTATACAAGCTTAGAGAATGATACAATTCTCAAATTTTACGGTTTTTTGAATTTACAGTATTTTGAGGAACTGGGGTGTTATGTTGTACCTATCTAGTGGCAGTAAACTTCACTTAAGGCTCCGTATCCTGTTTATTTTTTTAATATATGTAAATACTATTTGGATATCAGGTTGCACCTTAAACTTCACATGTAATAAAACTATGAAAGCGCCATTTTTAAGATGATTATGACATATGAACTTTGTAACTAACAAAAACCAGAAATGAAGCAAATCCTGGAGAAAAAGTAGTCAGGGCAGAGAGAACTGAACTCCCGACTTTCTAACTCCAAACCATATGCGCTACCACACTGCATTATGCCCTGTGTCTTTCAATAACCGTTCTATATAATTTAATATAATCTTTCAAGTATAAAATATAGCTAAACATTAGATTCTTTTCTCTCTATTTAATATCTAAAACGTGAAGAAGAAATAATGATTAAAAGATAACTCACCGTTATTGCTATATCCTGTTTTCTTATCATTAGCTATTTTTTTAAAGCGTAGTCTGAGAAGCGGTCACGTAATTATTCAGTTCAGAAATTGTTATTGTCGTTGTAAAAAAAAATGCTGTCAAAAATATACAAACGATATCAGCGTGGGAATTAATAGAGAGAATAATTAATAAAAGCGATGGTAAACAAGGTAGGTTTAGCTTTTGGGAAAATGGTTATCGGGATTCGGGTTTTTTGATCAACGTAGCGCCTGATAAATAGAAAGGCACTATAGATCATGGTGACATTTACTTGATAATAATAAACTGAAGTCTTACTTCATGACAGTCTATAATAATATTTCCGAAATGATACATTATCGGAACTACTACATCTTACAGCACTAGCGTTCATATATTTCTAAATCTACGTAGTTAACAACAATTTCAGTTAAAATGAATGCATATAAACGATCTTAGCTGCAAGTCATAATTTCATTCAATTCATTATAGATATGAAATGAAGAAAACTACTTTAGGAAAGAAGGCGGAACTTGCCTTTGAGACCACGCTTGCCGCCTTATTTAGGGCAGTGCGGCTGGGTACCATGGCGTAATTGCTGAAAGAAAGTATAGATACAGGGCAATTTATCTTGTTTCGCATATCCGTATGACCTATATTTACGCCTTTTAAAAAAACTTGTATTAAGATGCCCTTACGATAAGGCCATACTGCACCTCATGTTCCTAATGCTTTATGCAGCTCAGATAGCTGGCGCTACCGAAACAGCGAAAAGCATTGCTTTAATCAAGTAATAATAGTAATAATAATAATAAAATTAAGTAATTCATTTTTTACCTGACACAAGTTCTGTAATAACTGATAAATGGAAAATAGGCAGTAACCTTGCAAATGGTTTCCTATGCCCCGAAGTGCGTTCATCATACTAGAAAATTTACAGGTTATTCAGCCTGATAATAGATGATTACCTAGTGGCTTGTTGTACGCGTTCGGTTTTTTATTTGACCGTCGTTTAATATCTCAATGGTGGTCAATCGAACACGATGCTTTGAAGATGGTGGTCAATTCTTCTCACTTAGGCGATGATGCCTACTTCTTGATTTTTTGCTGTAGCCATATCGTACAGTGCTTCACGATGCCAATTTCCTTTCATTGTGTAGAATTTTTACAACTTAACTTAGTGGATGATACTAAATTCTAGCACGCCATCACGCACTCATCTGTCCAACAAATTGTGTTGTTATTGTATTCGATGGCACCTCTATTTTGGCCCTGTTTCTAGATTGGCTGTTATAGTTTGCGCTGTCAACACAAGCAGCCCGCCATTCCCTTTCCACTCTTTCTCTTTCCACCAACAGAACTTCAGTTTTGGAGCCGCCCTGTGAGTTCTCCTTTAAATTTCATGATTCGTAAATACTGCGATGTGCAGTATTAGAGGGCGATACGTGAGGATCTGGAATGAATTCTCGTTCCATTCCAAATCCTCACAAGCGGTCGGTGACGTTACCCACACAAATGAAGCACAGCGACGAAATAGAAACTCCGGAGCCATTTGTTCCGTGTACGCTAACCTAACACGTTATACAATACTAATGTTGTAATAATGTCCTCTAGTAATACTTCAGAGTCAGCCTGCGGCTACAAGTAATTGTACTCAGATAGGCCAAAGTAAAGATACACATTTATTATTTATACTTTTTTCCACCAGATGTAATTTACACACTATGTTCAATTAAAGTATTTGTGACAGTGCCACGGAGGAAAATTAGAAACTTCAACTTACTTTACTGCTTGGCCCCGTGTTTTCGAAGCGGTGTGAATGACTAAGTAGACCTCTGCTCGAACACTACAGATCTAGAATAGATACACTTTATTTAAAAAATGTGTAATGTATTTATCTGCTCTATTGAAAATAGCACATATCAAAAGATATGGATGGGATGCATTAGTCAGATCGAAAGGTCTCTGCGTAGCAACAAGATTTGCTTTGAACGACAATTTACCAGTGCGTTATTGACTTTTAATACTTGGTTTACGTATTTCTCTTTATTGAATCTCAATCTATATGAGTTCATCAAATCAGGTTGCAGCATACACAGAAATCTTAACTAACATAAACCCGTCTCTATTACTACCAGGGCAAAGAAGAAACCACATTATTTAAGCCATTACTTCCGAGTATCCTAATCACTGTGATCACGCAACGTTATTAAAGGTTATCGTATAGACGCCGTGTGTACGTCGTCCTCCTCACGGGTAAACATTTGTTGTTGTAGTCAAGTTATAGCAGACAGCTTTCATCGTTTTAGGGAAAATGTCATTTAGGGAAGATATATATAGCGAAGCTTTCAAAAAATCAACAGGGTTCGGCTCTTTTTGCTGTCACAACGAATGGTCAAAAAAAAAGATCAAATAGATCCAAGGAAGCGAGGCAAAACATGTCCACTGACATGAAAAGTGAAAGCGGTGCGAGAGTCTTTGGCGGAATACATCATCCTATATTCTAAGCACACTTGTACTTAAACTATACCGCCTTGTTTGCATGGGACTTCGGGCTGATGAAACTCAGTTGCGATGAGCTGTTCAATAGCGAAGACGGCATAAAACTTTGTGTATTACTTCACAAACTAACCATATAACGAAGTATTAGGTTTTCTACGAAGGATGAAGTGTTGACCTATACCCTAGTTAACAGTTCCCTTTAAGCTGGATGTAAAACATTAATGAATTGAAATACTCTAACTGATCAAAAGCAAAACTAGCGCGGGACGAAATTTACGGTTCCAAGATCTACATCTACACTATATTGTGTTGATTTCGGAAAGGACCATATTCAAATGTTCGAAAGCGTTAACGAATGAGTAGAAAACTGAGATCTGTAGAAAACTGTTTTTATACCTTCGTAGTTTTGAGCAATCTTGCCCTATAATAGTGCATACCATTGACGATGGATTACCTTAGAGTCAGCGTGTTTTGTCGACAATCTAGTCCTAATTACCGCTATTATGAAGCTTTTCGCGTACGCTTCGCAGGCACTCGAAATCTATCAAAAAAAGGTTATGAGGAAGATATTATCCATTCGGCCATAGTCAGACTTAGTCACCGGGACGAAGACTCATTTTCGTTATCCTGGAACCGATATGTAGAACTAGCCGCTGCTATGGAAACGGGTAACGTATTTACCGTCTGTTCAAGTCGCAACAGTTAGCGTTTCTTTCTTCATGGATTCGAACGTCTTTTTGATATTTTAATAGCGTAAATTCATTGTTATTGATCTATCTACATAAGGCGTACGTAAGCGAAACATAAGCATTTTTCGTCAAGGTATACCATACTGCTATTAAAAATAGCCTGTGAATTTTTAAAAAGAACTGCCAAACCAGATTTCAGTGATTTTAAACTGAGATAATTAGTGCGAATAACGCCTACGGAGAACAATAAAATTAGCCTGTTTTAGGATAGAACGGTCAGCGCCTGTAATATTTCAGTGTGCATTTGACGCCAGGTGCCTCATGTCGCAGAGTTACCTTGTACTGTAAATATGAGGGGCGCAGTTTTCGCAGCCATCCTTTTCTTGCAACGGGTGTACAATGACTGAAAAAAGGCCTCATACATCGAGAAAAACTGCATTCAAGTTTTGTTTGATGACTTCAATAGACGCAACGTTCGAGAGTCAAATTAAGCTACGAAAAATGGCCATGCTTCGTTTATTGAACAATGGCCATATTCAGCTCATTGGACACGTTAAATACATTACTAGAATTGCATACTATTGCAGCTACAATTTAAATACCTACAAATAAAAAAATACAGTCGTTAAGTGCCCTCTAAAGGGAGCATTTTCGATGTAATATTTAAATGTGATTCTCGCAATGCTTTGAATCCTCTACGATTTTTGAAGCAAGGGATACCGCAGCATATAAATATTATAGATAGGACCCCTCCCGACCCCCTCAGAACGAATACTGACCCATTTCGGGCGGCGAAAGCGAAGTAAAGATCATGGTGTGTCCCTAAAACGTTTAAAACACATGCCCAACTAAAGATGCATCCTCGATCTGTCAACTTGTCAACATTCGACCACAAGTTGCTTTTCTTGCTAATCATCATTTTTGTGGCCATAACAATTGGTCTCACAAGCATCATAGTTTACCAAAAACTCGGCTAAAGATAATTTAATAGCTCACTGAACATACGCGAGTAGTGTGAAACTTCACAAACACCTCATTAGTTCCTCTCCAGCTTCACTGGATAAACAAGAGAATTGGATTCCTTATAAACAGTAAACAACATGCACAGACCTGATACACTCTCTACAAACGAGGTATGCAACAGTTCACTCGGTGCTCCATGGTAACAAAAATACGCTGTTTCGGTTTTGGACTCCATTGACATGCCGTGGATTCGCTGTTTATTAGATGATTAAATTTTGCATTGAAAGTAGGAATGCACTAAAAATGCCTGTAATAGTTTTTGGATACAGCGCAGCATGGGCATACGACCGTTTCCCCCGGAGCCATAGCCCCTCGAAAGTCGCGAATAGGAAGTTCCTGGTGGGCATTACACGACCCCTCAAATAGTCCAAAGCGCTTCATCGTGAACATCGCAGAAGCTATGAAAAATCCAGCCCCTACAACCAGGGGCCCTACAACAATTGCCCACTCCTCCGGCGCTGTAGGTTCCACCAGCGCACGCAGCACCCGCATTTCGAGGGAAAACCGTTTAGGGGGCTGCGTGAGTCCTTTGTTAGCTTTTGCGACTCGAGTGATACCACGCGGTGAACTCTTCCGTTTTTGTTTCGTACAACACTTCGTTTCTCCTTACATCTAAATCGTTTGATTTTCCTAAGATCTATTTTTCACCCATCTATTGTATTATAATAGTTACCAATCTGTATTGTGACACGAATACTTGTTTTTTTTTTTCTCGTAGCACGTACAAAGTTGCCCATTATTGGATGCAAACGGCCTGATATTTCTTTAACCGAGTAAAAAAATCAGGTCTGGCTTTATCTACGTCTCTACAAGCTTTAGCTTGCATTTTATCAGAAAATGGTATTACTTAAACAAGAATAAATAAATAAAGAACTTTTTTAGATTTTCTTACTGAACAGGCTTCATATAAAAAGCAAACACAAAGTTTAATGGAGTTGAGTGTATAGCTCTTTCTTTATTATACAAGCCCTCAATCGAATGTAGCAGTAAAGATTTAGGATTAGCACCCAGTAGAAATATAGAATGTAGAAATGTAAGAAATACTGCCCTGAAAGCTGACATTATTGGCAACCGATGTAAATGAACGACAAATATTAAAGAATCCTATAATTGAGGAAGATGCGATTACGTATAATTAGAATACTCGTGATTTACCAATTAAAATATTTTTTCAAACGAATAAGTGACTATTACGATATCTGTGCGACAAGCTGGTTGAATGATAATTTGTCGGAAAGTACGTAAGACACCCATAGATCCAATTACTTTTTATTTATGTTAGATTTGTCTTTAAGTATAAACTACTTTACATACTTAGCTGAAAAAATGTGGACTAGAATTTATGGCGGGTTAGCATCTATAAAATGAAATTAAATGCTACACACTTTGCACGTCAAGTTGGTGCCTTTCGGATACTCCAGCAGCGCATACAGCATGCAATTATACTCCCATTAGTATTCACGAAAATAACACAAGACGCTCTTTTTACAACGTTGCACAGTTCTTCTAGGGTCTCTTAAGATAGGATCAATAATTTTGCAAGGTTTTTTCTTTATATATTTTATTACGGCTGCACAATGGATCGTTTGCATCCGCTCTCATACCTGAATGATCTTCTTTTCCATAATTTTTACATTTAAATAAACTATTCAATTCTAGATATGTTTTACACATTAAGACAAGCGTCGCAAAAGAAACTAATCAAAATAATTGCTTGCCTAATTATTGCCCAACAACACGTATACTTGTACTACAAAAAAAAATATTGTATGCGGATGCAATTTAAATGATTGTGTATAATGAGTAATTTCCAAGAGCGTATTCCAATATTCATTACAGTTTTTTGCACCTAAAATAATCGGTACAAACCTAGATAAGGCACCAAAGCTACATACGACAAAACGAAGCTATTTTGATCTTCGTTTTTAATACAAACTGTCTTAAGCCTAAAATAATGTATATAAGGCATATAAATGGCTTTGAACTTTTACGCGAATTTACAGCTGCATTAGCGCGACATAAAAACGTATCTCGCAAGGATTGCGTTTTTAAAAACATTTCG